TTCCAGGGGGCCACTGGCTGTGCCCATAATCCTGGCAGGGCCAGTGGTCCAGGCCATGCCCCCAGCCATGCTCCCAGCCATCGCCCCCCCAGCCACTGGAGCTTGCTGGTCCAGCAACATCCACGATCCTACTGGACCATGAATGTTGCCGAACCAGAGAGGGCCTACCTATAATGCTTGTTTGGACCAATTACTGAATTTTTAAAACATTTATTTATTCATCTATTTTACCATGTGTAATGGCTTTTTCCCCCCACAGGTATAATGGCTCTCTGCCGAATGGAGATAGAGGAAGAAGGAAAAGCAGATTTGCTTTATTTAAAAGACCCAAGGCAAATGGGGTGAAACCCAGCACTGTGCATATTGCCTGCACTCCTCAAGCAGCAAAGGTATGTTTGACAGCTTGTTAACTGTAGGCCAGATTCTGCTCTCTGACACCTCTGTAAATCAACAGAGCTCAGTGTAACTACCCAGATGTAAACGTGGTGGAGTAAGCATCCGACCAAGTGTGGGAAAGAGATTGGAGGAGTGTATCCCAGGCAGTAGGTGCCTTTCATTTACTGGGGGGGAGGGGAAGAAACTATTTAGCCCAAACAAATCCAGTTCCCAGTCCTCACGACACAAATGGTTGTTAGTAAACCTCTAAGAGTTAAACTGGTCACAAAACACTGTCTGTTTGGTTTTTCCCTCCAGAGCGTGCTACCAAGGTGTATTTCAGATTTTCTGTTTCTAGTTTCTAGAACTAGAGCTAGGTCTGAATTTCATGTGGAGCACTACTTGCCATGCTCCCTCACTGGAACACACTTGCTACTCAGACTGCTGGTGGTAGAGGTCAGTCACAGATGGGGTAAGGGCTGAAAGGAGCTGGGGTTCTCAGTGTTGCAAGGGGGTTAAAATCAAGTTTAAGATACTCCGTAGGAGGGAGAGAGGGGAAGTTTTAAACCCAGGAAGGGGCACTGATGAAGCTTAAAACAAAAGATGTTTCTGATCAGAGCTGCTAACAGGATTGTTCACAGAATAATCCTTACTGTATCTGGGCTCTGTGCACACTTGCACTGGTGCCTGTCTTGCAGATGTGGAATATTTCCAGTGAGCAACCAAGTGCCCACAGCTCCTACTAAAGTCTGTGGGAACTGAGGATGCTCAGCAGTCTCTCAGGAGGTGTATGGCATGTTTCAGATTCACACCTCTGACTAAACACATTGAAGCCAATGCATTTACACTCATGTAATGGCTATAAGATCTGACTGAGCCAGCTATTTTGTGTAATTCCCTGAGCTAAAAGTTTATGAACTGGTTCTCCTTATTATCAGATCATTTAGAGAAGCTAAGGCCTCTTCTCACTTCAGAGAAGTATAAAAGAGAAGTTTGATTCTGATGCTGTAATTCATTTGATTGTGCTCACAGCTCTTACTGTGAGTTCATTATTTCTCAGGCTCAAAGGTATTTTATTCAAAGCAGTCTGTGAAGACATACTTGTTCAGTAATAGACAACAAGCCATTATTTTTCTAGCCAAAAATGGCATAAACCTCAAAAAACCCCACAGCCCTGGCTGGAAAACTGAAAGTTCAATCTATTTTGCTAGTTTTCTTGCATCCGGTGTTGAGTAAATTTCCATTTCCTTTGTTTTGCTAGCAACACTTACTGCTTTCTGTCCAGGTAGCTTTCTAACCACCCCATGATCTCATAGTGACTGAAAGTTAAAATAAAATCCACTTTTTTCCCCCTTGCTGTTGCAAAAACTCAGAATGGGGAGGTTTTACCAGCATTACCTTCATATTTTTAGCTTTTGTCTTGCTTAATCACCTAGCCTCTTTTCTGTGTCTGACACTAGCCATGGCTAGTTGTCTGTCACAAAATGTTTCTTGTTGCATTGTAGTGACGGGACCAGTTGGGTCTGTGTCTGGATCAGTCTTTCATTGTTTTTTTTAATTCCAGTGTCTGAACATCTTTCCATATAATCCATAACACCGCAGTGGTACACCTTTAATGAATTTGTGTAGTCATCAAGCACAACAGAAGACTGTCTGTAATCCTAGACTATATGCTCAGTAGTGTTTGTGCTAGAGATGTAAAATCCTGTTTAATTGGCTTGTAATTGTAATAAGAAGCATGCAGGGACTGCAGCTGTCAGCAGCCATTGAGGGAGGAGGGAATTAAACAGGGAAAGCACCTTTCACAGTTATATCTTTTCATACACCCATAAAGGGAGGCTTCAGTCTGCTCCAGAGCTGTAGATCAGTGTTCCCTGTAAGCTGAGTGTTTGGGTGGCCACCTGGGAGAGAGTCAAATGCTGCCTAGCTGATTAGCAGAATACTCACAGCTGACATGTTTCTATTGGCAGTGCACATAACAATTTATTCCACACATGGATGGAAAAAAATAGAGGGAACATTGCAGTAGATGTTACTGTCTTGTGTAGCCATGTCATGAGGATACAATTTACTGATGTCTCCTTTTGATTACTCCATGTTCTTGAGCAGGAGTTGGCAATAATTTTTGACTAGGGAAGTGGCCTTGGGCCACTGTGGAAGGGGCAGGGCGAGGACACTTCTGTGCTTCCCCCACCCACAGACCCTGATTGGCCTGGAGCTGGGGGAACATGCAGAGCCTTTACCCCTCCCCCTTCACCAGAGAGAACAGCCAACTGCTCTGAACAGCTGGCAGTTCCCTCTAGGTACCTGTGCCCCCGGCAGTGGGAGAAGACTTCACATGCTCCCCACTGCTGCCTCCACCTCAGTCAGCCCCTGGGGAAGGGGAGCTCATGAAGTCTCTCACTCTCTAGCCCCACTTGCAAGGGAGCACCACGCTTAGTCTGCTTGTACATTTCAAAGGCGGAATGCCAGGTGGCACTTCTGCCTTTGAAATGTAGCAACATTTCAAAGCAGAAGCTCCTTATCAACTAATCGAATAGTTGATTAATCAAATTTTAACATCCCTAATTTAAGAAGTTTTAATTTGTTTGGGGGCCTAATTCAGCTCTCATGTGTTTAGTCTGTTCTGTGAGCAGTGCAGATGCTTACCATACTCTACTCAGATTCTTTTTAGGGTGTCAGGGGTGGGCTTGTTTTTTTTAACCAAGACATCCTTGATACCTCTTTAGCAAATCTAGAGGTTTTACATTTTTAAAAGTCAGGCAATTAAATTAAGATTCGGGTGGTGTACTTTGTGTCATGTTTAAAATAGGCATCTATGTAAAGCTAAGCCTCATAAAGGATTGCAAGAAAAAAGGCACAAAATTAACTTAAAAAATAACACAAGCATTGACTTTGTCAGTCTAACTACTGTAACTGTTCTGTCTTTAACGTGACCATTCTTTGTCAATTAACTAGTATTTGTGATGCTTAACTTTTTAATTTTTATTATATTTTAATTTTCTATAGGCAATAAGCAACAAGGATCAACATAGCATATCGTATACCTTGTCTCGGGCCCAGACGGTGGTGGTTGAATATACACATGATAGCAACACTGATATGTTTCAGGTATGTAAAGAACATGCAGTATATATTTTTCTATTTTAAAAAAATAACATAGGGCCCCCTTTCACTCAACGTTTTCAGTGTTTGAAGTAGGGATGTTAAGGACTAGTTGACTAGCAAATGCTTATCAGATAGTAAACTAATCACTCCTCCCCCTCCTCCTTTGCTGCCTGTATCAGAGGCAGCAAGGGCGGGAGGACTGAGGGTACTTCAAAGCAGCAGAGCTGCACAGAGCCCAGGGTCCTGAGCTCCGTGCCGCGCTGCCCCTTTGAAACGCTGCCGCGGTGTTTCAAAGGGGCAGCACTGCCCATCGACTAATCGAATAGCTGATGCAAAAATGCATCGACTGTTTGATTAGTGAATTACTCAATACTTAACATCCTTAGTTTGAAGGTAAAATGTGTTTGGGATTAATCCATGAGGACAAGGAACAGGGTTCTAGTCTTCATTCTGCCAGAGACATCCTTTGTGGCTGTAACCAAGTCACTTAACTGTCTGTCTCCAGCCTCCTCCTATAAATGGAGAGTGAGGAATAACGATCTCACTGCGGGAACTTGAAGCTAAGTTTGTGCTTACAAAATTCTTTTGAGAATTAACCACTAGTAAGTGCCATGAAATGGAAGTGTGCATTCTAATCCCGGCTTGCAATCCCTTCCATCATAGTGCTGTCCACAGAGTTAATAAGCACACTCTTCTCCATTATCCAAATCATTACTGAAAATATTAGTGTGGGACCTCATTAGATGCATCTCCCAGTTTGACAGTGACACATTGATAATTACTCTGAGTGTGTTTTTCAACCCCTTAGCTTATAGTAACTTCACCTCCTCTACACATCCCTAATTTGCTTATGGGTATCTCATTTGTGGCTATAAAAAGTCTTACTGAAATCAAGGTCTATCATGTTTACTCCTCCTCCTACCCATTAGGCCAGTAACCCTGACAGTGAAGGAAATTAGGTCAGTTTGACATGATTTTTTTTCTTGACAAATCTGTTAACTTTCACATATCACCCTATGAGCCTCAGGTTGCTTATAAATTGATCAATAATGTGTGTCTTTCTCTGGTACTGAAGTTAGTCTGACTGGTCTGTAATTCCCTTGGTCCTCTAAAGAGGGAACAAATAAGCTATGTTTGTAAAAATGTTCTTCAGACAGCTGCAGTGTCAATGCTTTTTTTAAATCACACATGCCAGTCCATGTGAACTGATTGATTATCCTGCCTAGAAAGCAGAGTACATGCAAAAGAAGAAATACCCACATCCAATGTTCCCTCTAATCTTTTCCATCCATGTGTGGAATAAATTACATGCACCGAGGCATGTACTGATGTGTAACACCAGGAGAAACAAAGATCTAGCTCTGGGTGCTCTGCTAATCAGTTGGGCAGCACTGGAATCTTTCTAAGCAGCTGCACAAATGCGCAGTTTACAGGGAACATTGCCCCTCTCCCACCAAAAAATACCCCAATTGCTTAGTCTCCTTTTTCTGCTTTTGCAATGTCCTCAGTAATTGAGATATAGTACAATATACTACATCATGAACATTAGGGAAAGGGTTGTCAATTCCATAAATGGCTATGATATTGCAGAGCTCAGGCAGCAAGCTGTTGAATTCAGTAGCACCCCAGTCATTTAGATCTGCTATCTGAATGTCTTGGCTGGAATGAGATAAAAACATTCCCTTTTACTCAAGTACTGTGATAAATCCAACTGACAAGGCAGTCAGATTTTATGCATCCCCACTGTAGTGAAGCGTGTTGAGTGAGTCTTCACTGAAGGCAGAATTCAGCCAGTTCTTCGCAATCAGAGGGAGAACTATCTTGTCAGCAAATACGCTGGCAGTAGCTGCTGCCTCCATCCCAAGAAGCCTAGTGGTATGACTGTCTGCTCAAGAGTGCTTTGTTTGAGCTCATTGCTATTTTTTCAGTGTTCCATTGTGGTAATACAAGCTTCTTGTACTCTGTCTCTCCTGACAAGCAGGGCCATCTTTTCCAGTGCCCCATCAGAAGAGGAGGGCTGGCTAATATGTCCCAGGCTTGGAACATGTGCTGGGTACATGAAGCCCCTCGTGGCTTTATTTTTCTTCCATGAATAAAGAGATCATTTTCTTGCTATTTTGACAGCCCTAGATCAGCAGCTGTGGGCTTACATACTGGGGCTTATCTTTCTGATTAAACTGCTTCTGGAGGAAGTCCTGTCACATCTTACTTCACCACAGTTTTGAACTGCTTCTCTGCCTTGTGAATCAACCAAATTTTAGAGGTCATCAAGGAACTCTACAGGGGACCACCTCCAACAAAAAAATGCCATGCTCCCACGAGGGATGTAAGCGACTAGTCGATTATCGGATAAACATAAGCTTATTAGATAGTTGACTAGTGATGCAACTAGTAGCTTCCCCTCCTTTGCTGCCTCAGTTCTATCAAAGAGAGGCAGCAATGGGGGTGAGCAGGAGCTGGTACTGGGGGAGTAGACTTAAAAGCCTGTTCCTCCCAGTACCATCTCTGCGGGGGGCAGCAGAGGTAGAGGCACAGCTGAAACAGCGTGAGCAGGGACTGAAGCAGTCTCCACTTGCACTGCTCTGCTGCAATTCTGCTTTTGAAATGGGCTCTTGCTACAGTTCAGTGGTGGAGGTGCCCTTATAGACTAATCGACTAGTAGATGGAAATCCCATCGACTATTCAATTAGTTAATCTAAATTTAACATCCCTATGTCCCACACACCTGAAGAAAAAAATCAGGAAACGTACCTGAAGATTGTGCAGGAAACCCAAAACAATGAAGAAGAAAAATAACAGCCATGAAACACCGAAACAAAAAGTGGAAAAAACTACACACACGCACACACACCAGGTCCTGCCACTTGGATACTACACAACTTAGCAGCCTTATCCTATCAAGACTCTGCCTAACTGGAATTCAAATATCATACTCTCCAGTGGACTGATGATGATGGGCAATCACTTGTTCTTGTTGCTGAGTATGATCATCCTCCGTGGGAGTTGTGGACCTTCAGATGGCTGATCCTTGAACCACAAAGTCCATTACAATGAGGACAGATGTTTCCAGGTACAGCAGGAGGCTGCATACCATGACTAGAAGCCAGTCTCCCCTTCTTCCTGCACCTCTTCTCCTCCTCAGCATGTCAGTGGGCAAATTCAAAATGCAGGGAGCCATTTTGTAGGACTTCTCTCCATTGTGAGTGATGCTGGGCAGTGTCTCACGAGTGTCAATGTCAATGTTCTTTAAGTCAACCTTTAGCAAGTCCTTCTGTTGCTTCCGTTGTCTTCCTACATTACGGGATCCTTCTTTCAGTCGAGAAAACAGGACCTGTTTTGGGAGGCGATGGTTTAGCATCAGAACCACATGACTAGTCCAGTGAAGTTGCTGATGGATGATTATTGCCTCGAGACTGGTGGTGTTTACCTCTTCCAGAACACCGATGTTAATGCGCACGTCTTCCCATTTGATCTTCAAGATCTTGCAGAGGCAGCATTGGTGATACCTCTCAAGGACTTTCAAGTGATGTCTGTTGGTTGTCCAGGTTTCAGACCCATGCAATAGTGTTGGGAGAATGATGGCTTGATAGACAAGAAGCTTGGTGTCTGTTCAAATTTCGTGATCTTCAAAAACCCTGTGCTGTAAACGAGTAAAGGCTGCACTAGCACAGCTCAGAGGATGTTGGATTCCTACATCAATATCTGCCTTGGATTAAAAATAACTTCAAGTAGAGAAAATGATCAACATTCTCTAGTGCCTCTCCATTGATTTTAATTGATGGGGCACATGGTATCTCCTTTGGATGAGGGCTGATGGAGCCACTTCAGTTTTCTTGATGTTGAGGGTTGAGACCAAGTCCCGCATAAGTATCAGCAAACCTATTCAAAATAGTTTGAAGATCTTTCTCGAATAGGCGCAAACTGCATTGTCATCAGCATACTGAAGTTCCAGGATTGATGTGGTGGAAATCGTACTCTTAGCTTTCAGCCTGCTAAACCTAAACTGCTTTCCACCTGCCCTGTAGATGATTTCAACGCCAGCTGGGAGCGTCCCAGAAATTAAGTAAATGACAGCAATAAAGACTACAAACATGGTTGAGGGCCATGATATAGCCCTGTTTGACTCCTGCTTGTACTTTGAAAGGTTTACTCTGGAAGCCAGTGCTGCTCAGAATAGTCACTTTCATGATGTCATGAAGCAACTTTAGAACATTGATGTATTTATCAGGACATCCAATCTTTGAAAGTACCATCCAAAGGGCATGGAAATTCACTGAGTCTAAGGCTTTAGTTAGATCAATAAAAGCCATGTGCAGTGGTTGGTTTTGCTTCCGGCATTTTTCTTGCAGCTGTCATTCAATGAAGATCATATCTGCAGTTCTGCAACATAGTTGGAAGCCACTCTGTGACTCTGTATAATTTCTTCTGACAGGGGCAGAACTTTGCTTGCAACAGCAAGGAGAGAGATACCATGATAGTTTCCACAATCTGTTACCCTCTTTAAGAAAGGGGATATAGCAATCAAGGCATCCCTCATTTTACTGGGTATCTCCTCCTTTATCCAGATTTTAAGGATAAGCAGCCTAAGATGCTGAATTAACTCTGGTCCTCCATCTTCAAAGATTTCAGCGGAGATCCCATCTGGACCTTGTTCATCTGCTTGATGTCATCGTATATTGGGAGGGTCTCCGAGCTCATCCCTAGGTCAATGGGGAATTTGCTCAAGAACTTCATCTGCAACCATGGAGTTAAAATTAAGAAGATCTTCAAAATGTTCTTTCCAGTGAAAATTAAAGGTTTCATTGGAACCATGCTTTTGAAGGACATTCTTAGAGAAAAGGTGGTTCATGCCATGACAAGCTGGCCCATAAACAACCTTAATGAAATTTAAAAAACTATGTGAATTATGGGTGTCCTCAAAATGTTGGAGGTCTTGCGCTTTCTTAGTCCACCATTTGTTCTTGAGTTCTGTGGCTTTACTTTGGACTTCTGCCCTCGCCTTAGCATGGGCTTCTCTCTTTGTATTGCAATTTATATCATTGTCAAGCACAAAATGCCATTCTCTTCTCATTGAGGAGTAGTTTGATTTCGATGACATTCTCATTGAACCTGTCCAATAGACTAAACTGCCCCACTACAGGACGTGATGCCACACTAATGTAGACATCTAGAATTCCTCTGACTGTAGGAATTACTTCACAATGAAGAGGACACCACACCCAAGCAGCATTCACTGTAAGCTAAACGCCTGGGTGGCCATGCAGGAAAGATTCAGATGCCATCTAGAGTGCCCACAGCCGTCACCATGTGTTTCTACTGGTGGTGCACCTAACAAAACTTATTCTGCACATGGAAAAAATTGAAGGAACACAAGTAGCATGTCCCCATCAAATAAGAAAAAGATGTAACATGACTGGATGTCTCCCATCAGTGGAAACCACACAGTAAATCATTAGATTTGTTGCTTCAGGAAAAATGAACTCTGAAATCATCAAGAAATCTTATTGTCCAAATCTTTCTACCATTGAGAGGATAGTTACAGTTTCTGAAATCCCAACCACCAGGAAGTGATCAAACCTGCAGACAATTGAAGTCTTTCATTGTCTGCTATATAAATTATGCACAGTGGAATCTAAACTCTGAAAGCCCCATTATGCATACAAAGGGGTGGAGTGCTGCATAGGATGGAATGCTGTACTTTCCTTTCTATCTCTTGAAATTTGGAAAACACAAGCAAGATAGAAGCCATCGTTGGTATCTATCATAGAGATAGAAGGGACCAGGCAGTTGCAAAGTGAAAACATTAGTTCTTCAACCAAGAATGGGTTAAAGTCTCTGGAAACTGAATATGAGAAGCCTTCTTAGGCAAGTATCAGAGGGGTAGCCATGTTAGTCTGAATCTGCAAAAGCAGCAAGGAGTCCTGTGGCACCTTTCTGATGAAGTGGGTCTTTGCCCACGAAAGCTTATGCTCCGATAAATCTGTTAGTCTATAAGGTGCCACAGGACTCCTCCCTGTTTGGGCAAAGATCTTTTACTTAGGTAAACCAGAAAAACCAGCCCTGTTTGCTTCTGTGGACGGTCCTGTTTGATAGAAAGTTAGCCACCTGAATTGTGACACAATCCCAACATTCTCTTTCTAGAACACTGCCAAAATAGCAGTAATTTTCTGGACACCATCAACTTCAGCAATGGAATACCACAAATTACTATATATTGTTCAAGAAACCCCTGGATCACCACACTTACCTTCATGGGTCCAGCAGCCATTTCAGACAGATTAAGAAATCTGTCTACAGCCAAGCATTCAGATACCACAGGGCTTACTACTCCAGAGTCTGGGATGCTCACCTAAACACGCGTGAAACCTTCACATAACAAGGATACTCAGCGGGAAAAGTAGATTGTGTCATGGAGATAGCCACCCCAAATACTCTTGGAGAGCCTGCTTCAATATAATTTAGGGAAGGGAGAGAACCACTAACCACATACCCCTGGCTGTCCCTGGAAAACTCACACTACAATGCATATGGAGAATCATCAAATAGTTACAACCCACATTTGATGGGGGGCCACATCCTAATGAAATCTTTCCCAAACTCCCCTTCTTGCCCTCAAACAACATTACAGTTTTGTCTTGCTCATCTAGTAGTTAGCTCCCCACCAATTAGGACACACCAACTCAAAGCAGCAACAGATGCAAACCTGCAGCGATAGCTTCACTGCTGCAATGATTAATACCACACATAATACTCCTGTTTTAAGATTCATGAGTTCTATACATCCTTATCACAATCTGTGATATACCTCATCCACAGCATCAAATGCTCCATCAGCTATTGTGTGTGTAAAATCAATCTCAGTATTCTCAAGTGAACTCCCACTGAAAAATAAGACAAACACCATATCACCTGCAGACACGCACTTTATGAAGAGTGATCGTTTCTTATCTGTCCATCAGTCCTTGCCCTCAAAGGAAACCTTCTAAAGCAGCGGTTCCCAAACTTTTCCAGATAGGGATCCATTTTGACAAGTCAGGAAGACTTGGTGACCCAAGGCAATTCAAAAATGTGGGGAGGAGAGTGCAGAGCCACCTGGGGAGACACTTGGCAACTCTTTTGAAATGTAATGGCGACCTATATTTGGGTCCCGACCCATAGGTTGGGAAACCCTGTTCTAAAGGTAAGCCTGGAGATTTAAATTCATAACTCTGCTAGACTAAAATCTGTGGACTCTGAGACACCGGTTTACAACAATTTACAATACATCCCACTGCCTTCCAACTCTCTATGTGAATCCATTATGCTTAATAATCTGTCTCAATTCATATTTGAGTTAAACACTTTTGTTACTTTCCCTTGACCTGAAGAGTTGTTCTGTGATGCTCAGAATCTTGTAGTCTGCAGCAACAGATGCTGGTCCAGTAGAAGATATTAGCTCGTGTCTTGGTCCCACTGTGAGACAATATGTTTATAATAATGCTGCAGCCAAATTAGAGGTAGAATAACTTAATCAGTTCAGATGGGATTAGGGTCTCAGGTGGTAAAATGCCTATAACTGAAAGGTCAGGATTTATTTTTGACCACTTTAAAAAGTTTGATTTCAATATTTTCTGCTGATGCTTCTAAGTCATGTGTGTTCTTCCCTCCTTAGATTGGTCGGTCAACAGAGAGCCCTATAGATTTTGTAGTGACGGATACGGTTCCTGGAAGTCAGAGTAATTCAGATACACAGTCTGTACAGAGCACTATATCGAGATTTGCTTGCAGAATCATATGTGAACGGAACCCTCCTTTTACAGCAAGAATATATGCTGCAGGATTTGATTCCTCGAAAAACATTTTTCTTGGGGTAAAAAACCACTTTCTTTCCAGCTTAATGCATACTTGTATTTAAACTAGTTTATATCTCAGAATTACAGATGAAGGGAACTTCTGTCATTGTCATTCCTCATAGGAAAAAGCTGCCAAGTGGAAGACATCAGATGGACAGATGGATGGATTAACCACAAATGGAGTTCTTGTCATGCATCCACGCAATGGTTTTACTGAAGACTCCAAACCAGGAGTGTGGAGGGAGATATCTGTGTGTGGGAATGTATTCAGCCTCCGTGAAACCAGATCAGCTCAGCAGAGGGGGAAAATGGTAAGTGTACATGCTGCATATTTGATACAGATACACTGTTTAAGGCTGTAACCAGGGCTACGTTGACTTATATGCTTAATTGAGTTAAACCGTGTAGTGCCTTGCTCTGTACTTAGTCACATTAATTTTAGTGGGCGTTCATGGAGTAAGATGCCATTGAACCTAAATAAGACTGGTGGAATTTAGCCCTAAATTACTCATTTTATTGCTTGTCTACACTGCTGTGCTAAATTTAGTGGTTCAGTCTAGCATGTTGGTCTGTAAGCAGTGGAAGCTTTGCTACAGCACGATGTGGGCTTTTGACAAAAAAAAGTAAATGATTTTTCTATCCCTCCCTTATAGGCATATTTCCTCAATGTTTTCTCATTGGAAGGTGGGGGATGGGCACAGTTCTTTGGATGTTACAGAATTTAATGTAAACCATGCTCTAGAAAAAATGTTGGGACCTAAAACCAGACTTATCCCTGCCTTTTTTTCCCCTCAAGTTAAACATCTGATTTAAATTTATTAAGTTGTGATGCATTTGTTTAGGAAGGCTGGTATGTGCTGTTTACAGTATGTGTGTTTGCATATATTACCATACATTAGTCTTAAGTTAGGAGTGAACTATCACTATTAGCTGGGTGCAGGATCAAGAAGGAATAGGATTAGGCATATGGGTACTTAGTTAAAGGATCTGACTTTCAAAAATTTCTGAGTAGCCACCCTCTCAATATCAAGCTCTTACAGGTGTCTCAGATTGAGCACCCAAAATCCTTGCTAGTTAAAACTCTTTGCCAGAACTTCCTAGTCAATTTAACTGTGAAACATTACTATAGATGTGAAGAACAGTTGAGCAACTTTGTGATATGTATGCATTTCCATCCCAGGTTGAGAATGAAACTAACCAACTCCAAGATGGATCATTAATTGATTTGTGTGGAGCAACGTTGCTGTGGCGTACTGCGGAAGGACTTTCACGCACTCCTACAGTGAAGCACTTGGAAGCTCTAAGACAGGAAATAAATGCTGCCAGGCCTCAGTGCCCTGTAGGGTTTAACACATTAGCATTTCCTAGCATGAAGAGGAAAGATGTTGTAGATGAAAAGCAACCATGGGTGTATCTGAACTGTGGCCATGTACATGGCTATCACAACTGGGGAAACAAAGAGGAAAGAGACGGAAAGGATCGAGAATGTCCCATGTGCCGCTCTGTTGGGCCCTATGTGCCTCTCTGGCTTGGATGTGAAGCTGGATTTTATGTAGATGCAGGACCTCCAACTCATGCATTCAGCCCATGTGGACATGTGTGCTCAGAAAAAACAACTGCATATTGGTCCCAAATTCCTCTTCCTCATGGTACTCACACTTTTCATGCAGCTTGTCCATTCTGTGCACATCAGCTGGCTGGTGAACAGGGTTACATCAGACTTATTTTCCAAGGACCTCTTGACTAATACACATGTCATAAAGAACTTCATTAAACTTGTAAGCTAAGCAATTCTTATTTTAAACAAACTGTCTATTTGATATTCTCTGGGCTTTGGACAGTTTGCATTAAAATGAAGATTTTTGTTGTTGTTGTTTGTTACAGTACCTAAATTCCTTTCTAGATGCATAAAAGCCTGGAAACAAGATTATGGGGAGGAAAGGGAAAGTTCCTGACTGTAGTGTTTGCTTTGGAGCAGGGAAGGGAATTGTGCATAGTGAAATTCAATGCCTTCAGTTTAATGTTTTTGAATGACATGCCCTTAGTGTTTAAAAGTTGGGGATTTTTTTGTATAACTGAGGGTAGATATGGTCAGTTCAAAGGACATTAGTTTACAGCTTGGATGCAAACATTGTAAAATATAACAACATGTATATTAACTTTTTCTATTTATCTTTATTATTGAAATTATCTTATTGCGTTTTGATAGAGAAGAAGCATGGTGTAGTAGTGTGTTAAATCCATTGACTGGATGCATAGAATAGTTTTTGATGGGGAAGGTTAGAAAGAAAACTGTAGAAATACCTTTTTAAAATCTAGAATACTATTGAGTTCTTAGAGTAGCTAAATACTTTTTAAACAAAATTACTGCAAACTACATTATTGTAAAAATATGCTTTAACCTCACAAATGGTAATTATGATGGACTTCTTAAAATGATCATTGGATAGGACTATAATAGAACTGTTCACAGGAAAACATTTATCCAATTCTTTGAATATGCAATTTAAGGATTTTTCACCCTCTGTTAGTTAATCTTTTATTTACCATGAGCAACATTTGAGGTTTGTTTAAACAATGAAAAATGGATAATCAAGACTCACCTGTTCTTCACTGTTAACAAAAAAAGCTGTGAATTAGCCAGAAATCTGATGGTTCAATTATTCATTCTGCTTTAATCTAAGCCTTTGAAAATGTATATGTTGGAGGAGTAGGTGACACAATGGCTTCATTCACTTGCCTTTCAGCTTCACAGAGCTGGGTACAAATATGCATTTAGTGGCAAGTGAAGACATTGCAGTCTTGGAGCCAATAGATGTTTGCCCACATAACAGAACAATCATGTAACTTGGCACAGTTGGCAGTCCATGTGCAGGAAAAGATCTGCTTAAGGATTTAATTGTATTTGTAGGGTTTGAGATGGAGGAAACTTGCATAATGACTATTCACACCATGGCTGGTTTTAAGTCAGTTTTTAGTCTCACTTTCAATATACCTCTGCTTTCTTTGCCCCTCCCCCTCCTAATCCCTTACCAGAAAAGACCAATGTGTTACATGGAACTTGATGCTAATCCACCATGTTTTGTGGCAGAGGTTCAAATGATCCTTTTAGGATAGAGGTAAGCTTTTTTTAACTAGCTTTTTAAATTGGTTTCTCTATTTTGCATTGGAAATATGTACTGTATAAACTGATAGTAGCAAATCCCTGTACTCTGTAGCATAGCTTTAATTTATCCCACCACAAAGCTGGTCTGGACTTTTCTTGGTTAAAAACAAGCTGAATTGTGTTTAGAAGTCATGAATTATTTACTTCAGCTGTCAAGAATTGTTTCACCATTCTAAAAAAAATATAATATATATATTGTTTGGTTCACTCAGGAAATGTCAGGAAACCTTGTATTATAAGTTCAATTACTTGTCATGTATAAAGTAACTGCTGTTACTACATTTCAAAAATATAATTTTTTGACATTTTTCAGGTTGTCATGCATTAATGAGACTTATGCAACAAGGAATCCATGTATTGTAATTGTTCTAATCATTTATATTCAGGCTATATATACTGTAGTTTAATTTTTATTTTGAAATTAATTTATTCAAGTTATGTGAGTAAACTTTTTTCCAAAAATAGAAATTAGAGTTGCTTATTGCTGTATTGGGCATCTTTCTGCTAATATGGAAAATTATGGTAATTATGGTATTTTCTGAACAGTCATTTTCAAGTATCTGCTTCACTTTAAGCATGTTTGTGCTCTCAGAATCTGAAATCTGCTGAGAATCAGGGATTTAACATTTGATATTCATGACTTATCACTAGGGATGTGAAGGTTTAACCCAGTAAGCCTCACCCTTTCCAGGTCATTGTACCCCATTTCAGGTGTTTGGGGGTGTTTTTGTCTTGTGTACTCCACAAGTTTCCCTCACTTAACTACTTGCTTACAAAAGCAGACCTAAAAATACGGAAGTCACAGCATGCCATTACTGAAAAGTTGCTTGCTTTTTCATGTTTACCATAGAACTATACAATCAATTGGATCACAAATTTCAGTGTTTAGCGCGTGTGTGTGTGTGTGTGTGTGTATGTATAGAGAGAGCAATATAAGCAAATCATTGTATAAGGTATCAGAGGGGTAACCATGTTAGTCTGTAAATTTAAAAACAAGTAGTCCTTTAGCACCTTAGAGACTAACAAATATATAGGCTCAAGAATGTTGAGTGAAACCCACTTCAGGAAAGCTCATGATCCTATATATTTTTGTTAGCCTCTAAGGTGCCACAGGGCTACTCTGTTGTTTTTAAAGATATTTTATGGAATTCTAGTCTGTACTGACTTTGCTAATGCTTCTTATATAACCTGTTGTAAAACTAAGTAGACCTCTAGATGAGTTGATGTACCCCAGTTGAGAACCACTGGTGTAGATGTCCAGAAATATTCTCTAAGTAAAGGGTAGCACAAGTAGAAAGAAGCATTGGAAACCCACGGCAGGCGGGCCTGGGACTGCTCTTAAAGATCATGTTCTTGCACTGGAACAAAGATCATGTTCTTGCACCTTGGATTGAATATAAATATTTTGGCCTGGAAAATGTGCCTGAGTAAGGCCTGCATAAGAACAGCAGCAGCCCCCTCCAACTGCCTTGTGTTGCCTAGTGAGACCCATGAGGTTACATGCAAAGACTAGAGAACAGAAAGTGAGTCTGTAGCTGGTTTGCACAGAGCTGCTGTGCTTTGTGAGATCCATGTGATGTTTTTAGGCAGATTAACAAGCTAATTTGCTGTTGATCACATTTCAGTTTATATTCTATGGATTGAATATAGTTAGAGTTGCCAGATGGTTTAACCCGGCGGGGGGGGCGGGGGCTGTGGGGGGGGGGGGGGGGGAGAGACCAAAGTTGTTGAGCAAAAAAAAAGGACCCTGAGTTAGCTAAAAAATTAAAAACCAGCATGGCCCCTTCAAGAAAGACTTTTTGGACCTAACAGACTGCCGGCAACTGTCCGCCATCTTGTCTTCCTTTTCCGGGCCAGACAGGCTCTCCTGTGGAACCAGATAAGCAGCTGGTATTTTTACCCCGGGAAGAAATCAGAGAATACTGGACACTTTAGGTGCCCGGTATTTTCTGATTAATTTTTTTTACCGGACTGTCCGGGTCAATATCGGATACCTGGCAACCCTAAATATAGTCCTGTGTTTCCAGAGCCTCAAAGCAAAGTACTTACACTCTGCCTGCATGCTTCTAACCTGCTGCTGGGGCAGTCATGGAGCCTTTATCTGGGAGTTGCAGTTGTTGGTTCCTCTGAGACAACCAAGTAGCTGAATACACAGTAACAAGTTTTGATGTGGCAACTGGAAGGGAGACCCAGCAAACTCAGCCTCTGTAGGGAACACTGAACAGCCTTTATACAGGAACAGCGTTTACTCCTTTTGAGCTGAGCTGGAATAGTTGCACCTCCAGAAAGAAAGTCTGCTTTGTTGATAGAGGTTTAAACAATGTTTCAGAGTATGCCCAGGCAGCTTCTTCTACACTCATAAGGAATGCACACTGCCTTTGCTAGTCCTCAAGACTATTTCCAATGGCTCTCTGGTCAGAAAGGAACAGTTCCTATTAACCGTCACAGAATTTTAATACAAATCCACATTCTCCACCAACAATTGTTTTGCAATATAAAACCATTACACCAATTACCTTTGTTCCATGGCCTAACTTCCAATATTTGAATAGGCTACAGAACCACGGAGGTGGATGAGGCTTGGGTCCTTTGTATTACAGATGGGGGTTATGTTCCAGAAATGGCCTCTTGCCTCACTTGTAAAAATAATGTGAATTCTAGTTACCTGGAAGCCCCTAGAGCCCTCATCAGTAAGAAGAGCTGTGAATTTCACAGATACATATATAACTGCACAAAAGTGAGATTGGTATCCAGCTGTTAGGCCAGACAGAACACCTTCCACTTCCCACACAGGGTGTTCTGTGGGTGTCACTCACGTTATGCAGGAGACTTTTCCTGATATGCAGAGAGGCGCGACAGATGCACAAGGATAGCAAAAGATGTTACCTTTGACAGCATAGCAGTAGAATTGCTTCCAGGCTCAATGGGGAAAGGCATGAACACAAGCATGCACAAGCACTACTTGAGGCTGACCTGGTTACTGTGACTCATGTCTTGGGATTCCCTGGTAGCATGGTCCTGCAAGAGAGCCAGCTGAACTCATTGCAGGACACAGAAGCTAGTCAGGACTATTCATGTAATAAGGTGCTACTTGCTGAAGGTGTGGGTCACACAAGTGGGGCCCAATGTTAACTTTCATCCTGCAACAGTTTTCTTACTGTCCTTTCCCTATCTGTACTGTGTGCTTTTGCTTGCACTTGGGTTCCTTTAGCAGAGACCCACTTCAAGGATTGAGATAGCCATAGACTACAGAAAGTGGATATATTCCATGAAATATACAGATCTCTGGTATGCCAAATGCCTCTGAGAGACCATGGCACAGAACCCAGGCACTTGTCAGAGTCTGACAGTCTAGCCCTCTATCTTTGAAAATGGAAGTGGAGGCTGAGGAACTATATGGTGGATAGATGCCAAGTAAGTAGCAGGATCCACATTTGAGAACTTTTGGAGGGTGGGAGAGACCTTAGAGGATTGGAGAAGACCAAATACAGCACCTATCAATAACGATGGGAATAAAGAAAATGCTGGACATTAGGGAGCAGTCAGTTTAACATCTGTACTTAGGATAATGAGGCAAATAATCAGTTTGGAAGCACTAAAAAGATCAGGTGGTAAAGTGATTCTCAATATGAAGAGGGCCAGACCAAATCTTATCGCTCCTAAGTAATATAGGATATTAAGCTTGGGGCTACAGGTGAAGTAGTAGATATGATGTATCTTGACTTTCATAAGGCCTTGGATAGTGTGTCTAATGTCTATCACCTAGATAAACCTACTATAAAGTGGGTCTACGACTGGTCAGAAAACCATACCCAGAGCAGTTGGTTGATGGTTCAATCAAGCTGGAAGGTCATGTCAAGTGGGTTGCTCCTAGGGCTCTGTCCTGGGTCCAGTTCTAGTCAATATCTTCATAAACGATTTGGATAATGGCAGAATACAGTTATAAAGTCAGAAAGATACCAAGCTGAGAGTGATTGATTGCCAGAACATTGGAAGACCAAATTAAAATTAAAAATGATAAACTAGAGAAATGGTCTGAATAAATAGGATGAGATTTAATACAGACAAATGCAAAATACTCCACATAAAAAGGAAAAATGAGCTGCCCACATACAGAATGGGAAATGACGGTCTAGGGACGAGTACCGTTAGCAGAAGTGTTATAAGCAAGATACGAAGTAATACTTACACTCTACTCCACACAGATTAGGCCTTAGCTGGAGTGTTGTGTCCAATCCCAAGTGCCTCCTTTCAGGAAAGAGGTGGGCAAGCTCGAGAAAGTTCAGAGGAGAGCAACAAATGTTTAAAAGACTAAATCATAACCTAAATATATAGGCAAGATAGAAAAAATGATTTTAGTCTGAAGAAGAGAAGCTGGAAGGGGGATATGATGATCAACGTAAAATTTAAAAACAACAAATGGTCTGGTAGCACTTTATAGACTAACACAACATGTAGATGGTATTATGAGCTTTCGTGGGCACAGCCCACTTCAGATGACCCCATGAAAGCTCATGATACCATCTACATGTTGTGTTAGTCGATTACAGAAAAAAAAAATATGGTCTGGTAGCACTTTATAGACTAACTCGGCTATCCCATGAAGAGAATGTACAATTTGTTATAAAAGAGGGTGATAAATGGTTCTCCTTAACCTTTTGAGAACAGGAGAAGAAGCAATGGGCTTAAATTGCAGCAAGGGGCCTTTAGGATAGACATTAGGAAAAACTTAACTGTCTGGGTAGTTAAGCATTTTAATGAGGGAAGTTGTGGAATCTCAGTCTTCGGAGGTTTTTAAGAATGAGTTAAACTCCTGTCAGGGAGGATCTAGGAAGTCCTTAGTGCTGGGAACTGGACCAGGTAACTAAGACCACCTTCTAGTCCTACATTTCTTCAATTCTATTACTGTCTTCAGTCATGCTGGGGCCATTCTTCCCTTCCCGGTAACCATGATGAAGCACTGAAAGAGAGCTGAGGCTCGTGTAAG